AGCGAAACTCTGTCTCAAAAAAAAAAAAAAAAAAAAAAAGTAGAAGTCCTACATAATTATACCTCTTCCAGAGATAATCACTACTAACTTTGGACTTAGTTTTTATGATGTATACACACTAGTTTTGCAAAAATAGGATTATATTTTATGTAGTTAGAAAGTGACCGGTGATCACAAAGTAGCCCATCAAACTGATGTAGATGTACTATTAGCTTAATTATCTTCTGATTTTTGGACATTTAGGTCTAATTGATTTATGATATTTTTAATTTGTTCTTTCATTATATTTATGCCTTTTTTCCTTCAGCTTTTGTCTGGAATAATAGAAAATAATAGTCTTTGTTCAGCCTTATTAAGAAATTTTGCCTTGAATTTTCTCCTTTCAATTTTTCCCTTAAAATATTTTCTAGCCTGGGCGCAGTGGCTCACACCTGTAATCCCAGCACTTTGGAAGGCTGAGGCGGGCAGATTTCCTGAGGTTGGGAGTACGAGAGCAGCCTGACCAACATGGAGAAACCCCGTCTCTACTAAAAATACAAAAATTAGCCAGGCGTAGTGGCGGACGCCTATAATCGCAGCTACTTGGGACACTGAGGCAGGAGAAATGCTTCAACCTGGGAGGCAGAGGTTGCAGTGAGCCGAGATCCTGCCGTTGCACTCCAGCCTGGGCAATAAGAGCGAAATGTCATCTCAAAAAAAATAATAAATCTTTTTTTTTCTTTCTTTTTTTTTTTTTTGAGAGTGTAAGGAAAAACCACTGCTGGAGTACAGCAGTTCGATCTTGGCTCACTGCAACGCCTCTGCCTCCCAGGTTCAAGGGATTCTCCTTCCTCAGCCTCCCGAGCAACTGGGATTACAGGCGTGTGCTACCACACCTGGCTAATTTTTGTATTTTTAGTAGAGGTGTGGTTTCACCATGTTGGTCAGGCTAGTCTCGAACTCTTGACCTCGTGATCCACCTGCCTCAGCCTCCCAAAGTGCTGGGATTACAGGCATGAGCCACCATGCTGGGCCAACAAAATAAATATTTTCTAAAGATTGTTTTTCTTCATTCAGTGATTCTTTTTTTTTTTCTTTTCTTTCTTTTTTTCTTCAGTCCTACAACAAAACATTCAGTGGTTCTCAATAGACATTGTTTTCAAATCCCTTTCTTGGAATATCATGTGGAAGCTTCAGTAATGAAAGACTAGTGCCTATAAGAATTTTACCTATACAATTGTAGAATTTTATTGACAACGACTTTCACTGCTAGAAACTTCATTGTTCTGCTAGTCTCAAAAGTTCTAACAGGGACAAGCACCTATGGTGGAGCTGACCGGGCCTCATAGAGCAGTAGCAGTGTATTTCTAAATAGTGTTTGAAATGGCTCATGGTTTATTTTCTGCTTAGATTGAAGGACGTCTCCTACCAATGGAAAGAATTAACTTAAAAAATACTTCGTTTATCACATCTCAGGAACTAAACTGGGTTAAGGAAGTAACCAGAGATCCTTCCATCTTGACTGTAAGTGATTTTTAAAGTGATAGAGAAAGGACCAGTATTCCCCAAAGTGTGGAAATTAGGAAGCAGGAATGATCTAGAGCCCTCTTTTTGAGAGAAAGTACCAATTGAATTCCCATTCTGAATTGCTTACTAAACAGGGATCCTTCAGACAGAGCAGTTGATGAGTTGTTAGAAGTAAGCCCTTTGCTTGACCACAGACTTACCAAAAGGAAGTAAATTGCTATGGTAATTCACATAGTGCCAACCTGTTACCCACTCTCTCTCCTTTCTTTCTCCTTTCCCCCTCTTTTTCCTGGGAGTATCTAGAGGGCGTTTTTATCCATGAAAGAAGTTAAATTAGATTAAAACAGTACCCCACCTAGGGAACTAATACACTAGCTATTTGTATCAAAGTATAAAATGGTCTATAATTAATTCTCTGTTTTAACCAATGTGGACTTCATGGCCAGATATATATAAACAGATATATAAAATACATGTTTGTAAATGTTCTATTGAAATATAAATGAAAAGCACACCTATTAATATATAACTTAATGAGTTTTTTTAAATTAAATAGACCTGTATAGTCAACACCAAGGGTTAAGAAGCAGAACTTAGCCCTCCAGAAGCCCCCTCCATTCTCCTGGTTACTGCCTCACCTTCACCCCTCATACATCCAGTATAACCACCATCCTGACTTTTCACAGCACAGATTTGTTTCAACAATTTCTGTACTTTATATATACATGGATTCATAGATTATATATTCTTCTATGTCTGGCTTCTTTTCTTAACTTTGTGTTGGTGAGTTTCATCCTGTTGTTAGGTGTGGTTGCTGCTCTTTCATTCTCATTACTGTATTACATTTCATTGTGAGACTGCGCCATGGTTTCCTTATCATGTATGTTCGTGTTAATGCTAGGAGTTAGGTAAGACTGGATTCAAGCAATGGGAGTGAAAAGTAATTGATTCTCTAGAATGAAATCTTCTAAGTGTGAGTTTGGGGTGTTTAAATTGTGAGAAATACTAGAAGTAGCTTGTGGTTTTTCCTAGATCCCCATGCATTTCTGGGCACTTTTTTACCCAAAGAGAGCAATGGATCAGGCCCGAGAACTGGTCAACATGTTGGAGAAGATTGCTGGCCCCATTGGCATGCGGATGAGCCCACCAGCCTGGGTTGAACTAAAGGACGACCGAATAGAGACCTATGTCAGAACCATTCAATCCATGTTAGGAGCTGAGGTAAAAATGTAATTCTAATAAATTTATAGGAGGTCCATTTAAAAATACTTAAATACTGAATTTTAACTTATCATGGTTATTGTCTGCTGTTGATGATTTACCGATATGCACATGAAATACTGACTTTATGCCCTTTGGTTAATTTTGCTTCCCTGCCGGGCGCGGTGGCTCAAGCCTGTAATCCCAGCACTTTGGGAGGCCGAGGCGGGTGGATCACAAGGTCAAGAGATCGAGACCATCCTGGTCAACATGGTGAAACCCCGTCTCTACTAAAAATACAAAAAATTAGCTGGGCATGGTGGCGCGTGCCTGTAACCCCAGCTACTCAGGAGGCTGAGGCAGGAGAATTGCCTGAACCCAGGAGGCGGAGGTTGCGGTGAGCCGAGATCGCGCCATTGCACTCCAGCCTGGGAAACAAGAGTGAAACTCCGTCTCAAAAAAAAAAAAAAAAAAAAAAAAAAAAATTTTGCTTCCCTCTGTGTTGGCACCCTCACTTACTCTAGTCTTCCTGCTCTCACGTAGCTGGCTGAGAGAATAGCTGACTTCACTTATGTTCATTATCTCTAGAACATGTTGTGCTCAGAAAGTCAGGTGCTGTCTTGCACGATTCACTACGGAGCTGCCTCAGACCAGCCTGAGTTCAAGATTGAAATTACTCTGGTGATCAACTTGGCAGATGGCCCACTGATAGGGTCCTGATGACTGATCAGGAACGCTAGAGCTGGCCAGGTCTTAGCACTCACAACTTAGTTATTCAGGCCTTTTAGTTCTTACCTGTTTCTAAATAAAATAGAGCAAGAAGATTAGGGAGAGAAAAAAGCAAGGGGAAGACTTTTGGAAGTAATTAGCCCTTGAATTGAAGATTCTGGTAAATTGTTCTGGTGAGATCAATCCCAGAATTCAATCATCTTGGCATCACAGAGTTCTTTATTTTTGTTTTTAAGAGAGAGAGTCAGCTGGGAACACAGTGGCTCACTCCTATAATTCCAGCATTTGAGAATGCTGAGGCAGGCAGGTTGCTTGAGCCCAGGAGTTTGAGACCAGCCTGGGCAACATGGCGAAACCCTGTCTCTACAGAAAATCCAAAAATTAGCTGGGTGTGGTGGCATGCACCTGTAGTACCAGCTACTCAGGAGGCGAAGATGGGAGAATCACCTGAGCCTGGGGAGGTTGAGGCTGCAGTGAGCTAGGATCATGCCACTTTGCTCAGCCTGGGCAACAAAGTAAGAGACCTTTTCTGGGGGGGGAAAAAAAAAGAGAGAGAGGATTTCACTCGGTCACCCATGCTGGAGTGCACTTGTACGATCTTAACTCACTGTTGCCTCAAACTCCTGGGTTCAAGCAATCTTCCTGCTTCACCCTCCCAAGTAGCTGGAACTACAGGCATGGGCCATTACACCTGGCTGATTCACACAAAAAATTTTTTTTATAGAGACAGGGTTTCACTATGGTTGCTCATGCTGGTCTCAAACTTCTGGCCTCAAGTGATCCTGCTACCTCAACCTCCCAAAGCAGTGAGATTATAGGTGTGAGCCACCATGCCCAGTAGTGATCTCCCATGCCTGTCATACTCAACTATGGCTTCCCTCAGACCTGATGGTAGATAAGTTCTGCTCTGCTTTCAAAAGAATAACTGAGCCCAGTACATCAGCTCCCTCATTTCACAATTTTTTGTGTTCCCTTTTTGAGAGGGTACAACCAATAGTTTTCATGTGGCATAGATGTGAATTTCATTCATAACATTTACCAACTTATCTCATAGTGGCCTTGCTCTGTCTCTTCATCTTTAAGGCATTCTGTTATCATCTGTATGAGGGATCACAAACTCATACGTCTCCAGAGGCCCGATAAGGAGTATAAATGAGTGAAGTGGGCTGGGAGGGGAGCGTAATGAACTAAAGAAGGTAGCCCCTGTTACTGGAGGTGTGAACTCAGGATTGCCAAAATGATTCTTAATGTGCTTGTTTGTTGATAGAAGCCAGAAACCTGGGATTGCATATGTATATATCTTCCTATGTTTAAATGTTAATTTAAACAAACAAACACTTGTAAGTCATTGTAGGGCCTGAAGAAATGCACCTGTTTGCTGTGTTCAGTCCATAGACTCCCAGTGCACAGCTCTGTTCTCATATCTTTGGAAATGCTTTGGTGTCATTGCTGAATGTGTCCTCTGAACAGTCTTAACATCACACCAATTTGATCTGGAGCAGGGTACCACTAATTTACCATTTGTAGCAGTTTCTGGCATAAAGCGTTGGCAACCTTCTTTCACTTGAATGCTGCTTTTCTTTATTCAGACTTGGAAAGGTCCACTTTTTTCAATATTGGATCCTTTAAGCAGTGAGGGATAGATGATACTGGCATGTGCTGGGCTGCTGGCAACCTCATTCTGTCTCTTCACCAGAGACTTAGGAATGGCTGCTTATGGATTTGGCAATAGCTTCATTCCAGTTTCCATTTAGCTCTGAATGCTTTCTTGTAGTATTGCATTCCTGCTTCCTTGGTTAAAGTTCTGTGGTATGAGTACAATAAGTTGCTTAGTAAATTAAAGAGATAGTAAAAAAAATTATACGGAATTGGAAGCAGCAAGTAATGTTAACCTTGCATGCATTCAAACCTGTTCCTTTTCCAGGCATCTGAGTCTCCTGATAGATAAATCTTTTGGTAATCAGGGACAGCAATGGGTAATTAATAGTAATGTATTACGTATCTATACAGAACAGCCCTGAGCCAAAGAACTGCTAATTCAGCTCCAAGGACCTTGTTCTGGTTGGAATGTCCACCCTCTTTATTTCAGTTCCCTGTCTTCCTTAAAGTTCCTGTGGCTTTGGCTTTGCATACTCAGAATACTGCCAACTAGTGTCTAGTAAAAATCCGTAGAGAGTTCCAAAGCCTGACTTGTGTATACTTTATCTCCTCAAGGGGAAGATACAGATGGTTGTTTGCATCATCATGGGCACACGTGATGATCTCTATGGGGCCATCAAGAAGCTCTGCTGTGTGCAGTCTCCAGTGCCCTCCCAGGTGAGTGGGTGTTGGGGCAGGAGGCACAAATGGCACCTCTCGCCTCCCTTGAGGCTTGGAAAAGAGAGAGATGTGTGTTCACTAAGACTAAAGTTGTTGTTAGAAGCTAGTATGTGCAGAGCCTTCTGGTGATAGGTTCTCCTGATTAGAGCAACCTGGAAAAGAGCACATTGCTCTTCTTAAGCTGCCTTCGTGCTTCTGAATGAAGAATTTCACTTGTTCCGAGGTTGAGTCACCAGTGGTTTCATATGACTAAGTTCTGAGAGTAAGTTAAGGCTTCATTCTGAAAGAGGAAAGCTGTTTTTCCTGTGGGAATTAAAAAAGCATTCCACTCTGCATGAGATCCTTTTGAAGGTTTTCATTTGTTGGTTCTATTTTGTTTTGGGTTTGTGGTGTGGGGAGGGGGAGTGGGAGTGGGGTATTTTGTGCTTGTGCATGCATGCCTAGAGGATGGGTGGGGGGAGAGAGAGAGAGAGAGAGAGTGAGTATGTGTGTGTGTGTGTCATATTTTGCCCATGTGCATGTGTGCCTAGAAACCCTAGAATTAGAACTCTTAATGCAAAATATGTTATCTGCTAACTTGAGTTTCTTAAACAAATGTAGTGTTTACTAAATTAGAGTTCAGATTTTGTGAAAGATTGATAGTGTCCTGCTTCTCCCCACACCTTTTGTTTTTTTTATTATAGATTATCAATGTTCGAACCATTGGTCAGCCCACTAGGCTTCGGAGTGTGGCCCAGAAAATTTTACTTCAGATTAACTGTAAATTGGGTGGTGAGCTCTGGGGAGTGGATATTCCTCTGGTGAGTGATGCTGAAATTTGTGACTTTGTTCAGTTTGTCTCTCCAGAGAATCCTCCAAGCTGTTTTCCTGTTTTTCCTCATTCGTTATGCTTCCTCTTCACAACACTTAGTCAGTAGTCTAAATGGCTCGCTATCTCTTCAGCCCATTAGCTAAGAATATTTTTTGTTTTTAAATGGCAAAAAAAATTAAGATGATTATTCCATGACACATGAAAATTATGTGCAGTTAATTTTCAGTGTCTTACATAAAATTTCACTGAAATACAGCCATACTCTTTTCATACTGTCCGTGACTGCTTTTGTGTTAAGCAGATAGAACTGAATAAATGTCAAGCATGCTTTTTCTAAAATGGCTGGGACCAGAAACATTTTGGATTTTAGATTTTTGAGAGCTTGGGGACATTTGCTTGCATCCCACATTCAAAAACCTGCACTCTGGGCCAGGTGCAGTAGCTCACGCCTGTAATCACAGCACTTTGGGAGACCAAGGCAGGCAGATTACCTGAGGTCAGGAGTTCAAGACCAACCAGACCAACATGACAATACCCTGTTTCTACTAAAAATACAAAATTAGCCGGAATGGTTGCACACGCCTGTAATCCCAGCTTCTCAGGAGGCTGAGGCAGGAGAATTGCTTTAACCTGGGAGGCAGATGGTGAGCTGAGATCATGCCATTGACTCCAGCCTGGCAACAAGAGTGAGATTCTGTTTAAAAAAAAAAAGAAAAAGAAAAATCTGCAGCCGGAAACACTCCAAAATCTGAAACTCTTTGAGTATCACATTGGTGCTCAAAAGGTTTCAGGTTGCGTAGATTTTCAGATTTGGGTCTCAACTTTTGGTTCCTATAGAAACTGTAAGGCTCACAAAACCTAAGACACTTACCCTTTAGTCCATTGCTGATCCCTGGTCTAGATCTCTGTGTTTATTGTGTTTAAAAAATGTCAGTGTGACTGTTGTCTTTCTTTTTCTTTCCCAGAACTTACTTTCATATATACACATTAAGGGGAGGTTGCTTTGGAATTCAGACAGTAATTATAAATGGAGTAGTACATTGCTTGGGTCTGGGGTTTGGTTTTTGTTTTTGTTTTCTAACCTAGAAACAGTTAATGGTGATCGGGATGGATGTTTACCATGACCCCAGCAGAGGCATGCGCTCCGTGGTTGGCTTCGTGGCAAGCATCAATCTGTAAGTACTGCTCACAGTGCCATCTTGTTTGATTACTTCATTTTGGGTCCTAATTTTATAAATCTAGCAATTTTTTTTTAGCATGATGTATTATAGTATAAAGATTTCTAAACTCCTTCCTGTATCTTCTTGTGAAATATTTTTCTTTTTGAAATGGAGTCTCCCTCTGTCACTCAGGCTTTAGTGCAGTGGTGCCATCTCAGCTCACTGCAGCCTCAGCCCTCTGGGTTCAAGTGATTCTGCTGTCTCAGCCTCCTGAGTAGCTGGGATTACAGGTGTGCACCACCATGACTGGCTAATTTTTATATTTTTAGTAGAGACAGGGTTTAATCATGTTGGCCAGGCTGGTCTTGAACTCCTGACCTCAGGTGATCCACCCACCTCAGCCTCCCAAAGTGCTGGGATTACAGGCATGAGCCACCGTGCCCAGCCGTGAAATTTGTTTATGCAGCTTTTTTAGTTTTGAGACTGGTTTTACTCTGTCACACAGGCTGGAGTGCAGTGATGTGATCACAGCTCACTGCATCCTCAATCTCCCTGGTTTTAGTGATCCTCCCACCTCAGCCTCCCAAGTAGCTGAGACCATAGGCATGCACCACCATACCCAGCTAATTTTTGTATTTTTTGTAGTTTCAGAGTTTCACCATATTGCCCAGGCTGGTCTCAAACTCCTGGGCTCAAGTGATCCACCTATCTCAGTCTCTCAAAGTGCTGAGATTACAGGCATGAGCCACCACACCTGGCTATGCAGCTTAGTGAACAAACTTGGCATCAGTGTGAATGTGCTTCCCAGCTACAGTGCAGCCTCCTCCAAGGATGGGACTGTGCTGCTTTGTGGCTTTTTTCCCCCAGAAATGAGGGTTGTTTTTTTTTTTATTGTTTGTTCCAATTGTAAAAATAAGGCATGCTCATTCCAGATACCTGCAGAAATTTAGAAAGTGAGAATTCCTTATGGTCCAGCTTTTATTCATATTAATGACTGCCTAATGTTTGATATATATATATATACACTTTCAGATTCTTTTATGCATATGTTAACACATACATGTGATATATATCTCTGATATATACACACACATCTATATTCACACAAATGAGATATTGCTAGGCATACTATTCCTCAGCTTAATATGTACTTAAACTGTACATTTTCCCGTATGATTACAAATAAATCTCAACCAACTCAACTGGTACACAGAATTTATTCTGTGTGTCATTATTTAACTAATCCTCTCTTGGTGGATATCTAAGTTGTTAACTTTTTTCTATTAGAGCAGTTTTGTAGCAAATATCCACAATTACACATTTTTATGTTCTGCATATGGCTTAAATATATCTTTTCCCCACATCACTACTTGTTCTTACATATAACAGAAATGCATTTCCTGGTAGTTGTTGGATTGATTCATAGAGAAACCTGTGTTACTGACACAAGCCATAGGCCATCTTCTTCGAGCATTTGTTCATCTTCCTCTCTGTCTCTCTACTCACCCCGACACTAGCACCCTCACAAAATGGTACTCCCGGGTGGTGTTCCAGATGCCGCATCAGGAGATTGTGGACAGCCTGAAGCTGTGCCTCGTGGGCTCCTTAAAAAAGTTTTATGAGGTGAGGAGAACAGAAATTCTCAAGTTTCTGGGTTTTTTGTTTTTCGTGTTTTGTTTTTGAGACGGAGTCTTTTTTTTTTTTTTTTTTTTTTTTTAGGGTTGGTTTTTTTTTTTTTTTTTTTTTTTTTGAGACGGAGTCTTTTTTTTTTGAGACGGAGTTTCGCTCTTGTTACCCAGGCTGGAGTGCAATGGCGCGATCTCGGCTCACCGCAACCTCCGCCTCCTGGGTTCAGGCAATTCTCCTGCCTCAGCCTCCTGAGTAGCTGGGATTACAGGCACGCACCACCATGCCCAGCTAATTTTTTGTAGTTTTTTAGTAGAGACGGGGTTTCACCATGTTGACCAGGATGGTCTCGATCTCTTGACCTCGTGATCCACCCGCCTCGGCCTCCCAAAGTGCTGGGATTACAGGCTTGAGCCACCGCGCCCGGCTGAGACGGAGTCTTGCTCTTGTCGCCTAGGCTGGAGTGCAGTGACATGATATTAGCTCACTGCAACTTCTGCCTCCCGGGTTCAGGTGATTCTCCTGCCTCAGCCTCCCAGCTACCTGGGATTAAAGGCACATGCCAGCATGCCCAGCTAATATCTGTATTTTTAGTACAGACGGGGTTTCGCCATGTTGGCCAGGCTGGTTTCGAACTCCTAACTTCATGTGAGCTGCCTGCCTGGGCCTCCCAAAGTGTTGGGATTACAGGCGTGAGCCACTGTGCCCAGCCAAGTTTCTGAGTTTTTGAGGGCTATCTATGTAAACAGTTGAACAGGAAGTCTGATGTGGGAGAGGGATCTCAAATCAAAGGTGAGTCTCCTAAGCAGCTGCTGCTGAGCAGACAGCTCAGAGCTCCTCCTTTCAGGCTTCTGCTTGTACAGATCGGCTCGAAGAGCTAAGGAGCTAAATGCTTTCATTTGGTTTAGTAAGTAATAATTATTTCCCAGGTCATCAGCCTGATGCCTCTAGACATAATCTTCATGTCCTTATCAGGGAAGTCGGGGGTAAATTTCAGCAATTAAAGCAGCTTATGAGTGTACTCAGCTTTTTATGACTTACTAGGTGCTGGCTCTTTTCATTTTGGTTCAAGACAAATGCCTCCTTATAAATCACCCCTCGAACTCTAAAGAATGCTAACTGTGGAGGATTGCTGTAATTAAGCTGATACTGGGGCTGGAACAGTGAGCAAGCAAGGTACTGATTTCTGCCTTGGCCAGTACATCAAAGGAAGCACTGATAAGTGCCTTTCATGTCTTAAGGTCAGGGTTAGACCCTAACCTTTGCATAGAGGTTAAACAGCAAGAAATTTAATAATTTTTTATGATTGAAGTCAGTCTCTAGGGCTCCGCCTTATCTCCGTATAGAATAATGTTTTCTACAGTGTCCTGCAAACAGTTTAATACTGTTCAGTTATTAGAGGGTGTGTGTGTGTGTGTGTGTTTTAAAGCCTATCTCCAGCAAGGGCCATATGTTAGACTACTGAGTTATGAAGTTCAACCAGTCTTTCCTTTCTGTTGTTGTTGTAATTGTTTTCCTTAAAAGTTTGATCTGTCTTCTAAGACCTAGGTATGAAGCCTTTCCCATTCCTCCCTCACTGCTCCATCCCTAAGCTGGAATTCTTTATGTTCCTCTCCCAGGGCCCTTGGTTGATAATCTGTTCAGTAATATCACATCCTGCCTTATATTTGTTATTTGTATCCTTATTTATCCATCTCACTGGGTTGTAAATTACTTGAACACTGGTTATGGATGGCTGTGCGACAAATTACCCTGAAGCTTAGTGGAATGAAATGAGCAAGTTTGATATTCACAGTCAGGAATCTGTTTATGTTAAATCTAGAGTAAAACTGGCTCATCCAAATATACATGTTCTCTGAATCAAAAGGGTCTTTCTATTTTTTTTGAGACAGGGTCTTGCTCTGCCTCACCCTCCAGAGTAGCAGGGGCTGCAGGTATGTGCCACCATGCCTGGCTAATTGTTAAAAATTTTTAGTAGAAATGACATCTTGCTATTTTGCCCAGGCTGGTCTTGAACTCCTGGGCTCAAGTGGTCCTCCCACCTCAGCCTCCCAAAGCGCTAGGATTACAGGCATGAGCCACTGTGCCTGGCTGAAGGTTTCATTTGATTCAGGTCCTCATTATCGGCTTAGTCCTATGCCAGCTTTTGCCATTTCCCCAGTTCTGCACGTAGTGGAAGGAATCTTTGTATTTAAACCTACAAAAAATTGAAAAAAGTCAGGTTTGGAGGCTGAAGTGGAAGGATCCCTGAAGCCCAGGAGTTCAGTGCTCCAGTGAGCTATGGTCATGCCAGCCCAGTTGACAGAACCTGCCTCTAAAACAAATAAAATAAAATAACATATTTTGATCATGCCTCTCTCAGAGCTTATCCTGACTCCTCTGTAGCCCCAACAAATTTGCTTTTGGGTTCTAAGATTCTGACTACCTCTGGACTCTCCAGTTTTATTAATCTTCCCCTAGGAATGACAGTAACCACTGGAAGTTCCAACACTTCCAAATAGTTGCCTTCTTATACGTTTTCAGCCCTATTTTGCATCAGGGCTTGCTAGTCCAAAGCCCATTTTCTTCATTCTAAATCTCTCACTTGTCCTCTGGACTTACGTTCAATAAGATGATGTTTCTAAATATTCTTATCCTTTTCCTTGAATAGTTTGTTTTTCTCTTCTCCTTTTTCTGTAACCAGGGTTTTCCTTGATGAATACACCCCCCTTTTTTTGAGACAGGGTCGCTCTGTTGCCTAGGCTGGAGTGCAGAGTCACAGTCTTGGGTCACTGCAGACTCAACCTCCTGGGCTTGAGGGATCCTCCCACCTTAGCCTCCCAAGTAGCTGGGACTGCAGGCACATACCGCCACACCCAGCTAATTTTTGTATTTTTTGTAGAGACAGAGTATTCCATGTTGCTCAGGCTGGTCTCAAACTCAGGCTAATGTCCAATTCCTGGCCTCAAGCCATCTGCCCACCTCGGCCTCCCAGAGTGCTGGGATTACAGGTGTGAACACCTGTGTTCAGCTGAATACCCTTTCCTGTCCTGTCCTGTCCTATACAGGAACACACCACCACACCCAGCTCAATGTTGTATTTTTAGTAGAGAAAAGGTTTCACCGTGTTGGCCAGGCTTGTCTCGAACTCCTGACCTTAAGTCATCCGCCAGCCTTGGCCTCCTAAAGTGCTGGGATTACAGATATTAGCCACTGTGCCTGGCCAAATACTGTTTTCTTAGAAGCATCCCAGGTTGTGATTACTCTAATATCTCCAGAGTCAGACACCTTCCCCAGGCCAGTCATTTTTTTATTGGTATTACATCCAGGAGTGTCTTTAACCAATTTCCCAATAAAATTGATTATCAATATTAGCATCATCATAAGACTTGTTTACAATGAGTTAGTTGAAATTTCCCAACAATATTAGTGTTATTTCATCTCACAGTATGATAGTATATATAACCTAAAATGTAAGAGCCAAAAGATACTGTCATGTTACTAGAGTCCTACTCAGTCATAAATCATTACTCCAGCTTATCATTATACTACATGACTAAAGTGTCTCCCAGATATGTGCCACTTAGGTTTGCAGGCTTCCATTCAACATTGTCAGGTTTCAAAAGCAGGAGTTTTCTCAGCAACATGGCTTTACCCCTTTAGGTGTCCTGTTTAGTTGAGCTAACAGACGGTATCACAATTTGCTCTAAGCCTCTCCCAAGGCACCAATAGAATATTGGAGTTTGGGCTGGGCTCAGTGGCTCACGCCTGTAATCCCAGCACTTTGGGAGGCTGAGGTGGGTAGATGGCTTGAGGTCAGGAGTAGGAGACCAGCCTGACCAATATGGTGAAACCCCATCTCTACTAAAAATACAAAAATTAGCTGGGCAGGTGGCAGGCATCTGTAATTCCAGCTACTCAGGAGGCTGAGGCAGGAGAATCACTTGAACCCAGGAGGTGGAGGTTATAGTGCGATATCACACCACTGTACTCTAGTCTGGGAAACAAAAAAAAAGGGGAATATTGGATTTTGCTCACTTCATAATCATTTGTTCTTTCCCCTTATCCTCAGATGTCATTCATCCTTCTTTACATTTATATCCCTATCTATACACTTTTGGAAGGGACATTAAGTTTGGCCACTGTGCTGATCTAGACTGCTGGCAGCAATGCTAGCCTAGCAAACGTCTCCCACTCAGTCCCCTCTCATTCATATAGGGGAGTGTTACACAGGTACAAAACGAGTGGGCTTTCTCTACTACTAGCCAATATAGCTGCATTCCCTGTGAGCTCCAGTTTTGCCGGATAGAATGAAGGTACGATCCATCCCCATCAGGCCATTAGGCACTCTAACATGAAGGTTTAAAAGTGTAGTTAGTTTCTTGCTTAGAGCTTGTTATGGGTTTAATTGTGTTCCCAAGAAGATGAAGTCCTAATCCCCGGTACCTGTGAATGTAACCTTATTTGAAAATAAAGTCTTCGCATATGATTAAATTAAAATGAGGTCGTTAGAATGGGCCCTGCTACAATATGACTATGTTTTTATGAAGAGAAGAAATTTGGACACAGAGACAGACATACATAGAGGGAAGATAATCTGAAGACACAAGAACACCATCTGTACATCTGTAACCCAAGAAACACCCGAGACTCCCAGAAGCTAGGAGAGAGACATGAACAGATTCTTTTCCTTACAGCCCTCAGAAGGACTGTAAACACCTTGGTTTTGAACATCTAGCCTCCAGAAGCATGAGACAATAAGTTTCTATAGCTTTAGCCAGCTTGTTTCCTTTTTTTGTTTGTTTTGTTTTGCTTTGAGATGGAGTTTTGCTCTTGTTGCCCAGGCTGGAGTACAATGGCATGATCTCAGCTCACTGCAACCTCCGCCTCCCAGGTTCAAGCAGTTCTCCTGCCTCAGCCTCCTGAGTAGCTGGGATTACAGGCACCTGCCACCACGCCTGGCTAATTTTGTATTTTTAGTAGAGATGGGGTTTCTCCATGTTGGTCAGGCTGGTCTT